ACCAAAACACCTGGCTTTTCACACCTTCTAAATCAACCACAGGAAAACATTCCCCTCCTTTCATTTTTGGATGAAGGCACCAAGGTATGGAAGAAGAGGGCGAAAGTATGCACTTAAAAAAAAAAGAAAAAAAGTCAACGTAATGAGAAAATAAGGTCTGAGGAAACTGGTTCCAGAATGACGATGTAAACCAGATGACGCTTGCACCAGAGCCTCCAACACGTCGCAGAGCCAGGGAGGAGAGGACAGGGAGGGAGGCGAGGGTCACCAGAGGATTTATGCTTTCTGCTTGCCAAGCAAGACAAAGGCTCCCAGTCACCACCTGTAGGCATGAAGCGTGCAGCTGTCTTCTTAAGACAGCCCGCCCCCCAAGTGTAACCATAAAGGAGCATGGAGAATGCAGACTGTCAATGAAATCTTTGTCAGATTTGTTCTGTATCTTCTGATCTGTCCATCCACCCTAGGAAGAATTTAATGGCCCTGCTGGGAGAGAGCCCCAACGAGTTTATGAGGCAGGGAAAGAACAGGGAAGATGGATTCTCAAGTCATGCAGAGTCTGACGGAGGGTTTCCTACTTCCTCTCACCTTGTAGAATCCCAGTGGGGTGGCAAGTGTTCAAGTCCACTGAGTGGAGAAGGTGGGTGTGTGTTTTGAGTCAACTGGTGCCATAGTCTACCTCCTACTTTAAGCCAAGTAGAGCTGGTGTCTCACCCTCTGCCAAGCTGGCCCACGGCAGCTCACGTGGGGCCCAAAAACAACTCCATGGGAGATGACCTCCTCTGTGTATAATTTAAGATTCATATGAAACCTTCAGGCTTTCATATCATACCCAATCAAAGGCATCTCGGCTGGGAACTCTCTGAGTAACAGATTCTGGTGGGGTCTTCATCTATCTGCTAAAGTTGATGGATTTCCAGTCCAATGACTCTCAGGTGAAGAAAAATATCAAAGGGAAAACCAGATTCTAATAGTTGGCGGGTGTGCACTGATCTCCAACTGTCCTTTCTGCACTCTCTCCCCCCAAGCAGAAGACACTACAAATTTCAGAGAGCTCACCATGGATGCCACATAGCAGGGAAGTCCAGAAAACACCAAAGGGCCCACACTAGCTCTGAACCCACACACCGGGGACTCAGGACCTACGAGAGCGTGGAGAAGAACACAGGGCAGGCATCTGTCAGTATCTGTCGCTCCCCTGCTCAAGGTAAGCAAGAGCACCCGACATCTCTATGGGTGGAGGGAGAGGGGGAGTGGGCAGGTCCTCAGAGAGAGGAGAGTGATCATTTACATGGGAAGGGAGAAAGGTGCAGAACTCACATTCTGGAGCTCAAGCCCTGAAGAGAGACAAGTACCTTCCTCACAACACACTTCCTTTCTGGCTCAGATGGATCACTGCAGACAGAAACCAAGAACCCAGCCTGCTGGGCTTCCCACGGGGTCGATCAGTCACAGTGCCCAGTAACGGCAGGTGTGAGGATATGGGCAGAGGACCACTAAGAGCTGGACCAGAGCCCACCACTCTTTAAGACACACACACAAAAAAACACTCAAGGAATTCGATCATGAGTGTTTCACAAAGCGACCTGGGGGCCCGGAGAAAAGCACAGCTTCCATCTGATGCCTGGGGCTCTCCAGCTGCGCCACCCCCCCCCCCGCCCCCGCAACACACACACTCCCCTCCACTTCTAGGAGGCAGGGAGGAAGAATTCACTGACCGTGAATCTTGACTTAAAAACTGCTCTCACACAATCAAAACTTGACGATTCCATGCAAAGGTGATACTATCACCAGGGTTCTTTGTTCGTTTCTGTTCTTCTCTGGGGAGGTGGAATGAGGGTACTGGATTAACGAAACCCTCCCTCGGTCCGGATTAGAAATTAGCTCATGCTTTCAGACATCTCAGTCTTAATACAGCAACGTCTGTCCCAGCATTTATGACACCAAGGGAAGGGACTCTGGACTGGTGAGGTCAAACGACACACCAGAAAGCTACGCCTCTGCTTGCATCTCCTGAGACGGCTGTTCTGTCTCCTCCAACATGAAAAACGAGGAGGAGGGAATAAAGACCTCAGTTGAAAGAGAGGGCTGGGAGACCCATTAGGAAGTCCCCTCCATCATGGCTGCTTGAGCAGGTGCAGCAGAAAGCAAGTCTGGAACTTTCCCTGACCAACAATGAATACTCTGCCAAGGAACCAGGATGGGGCAGGGTGAGGACCAGGACTGGTTTTCTTTGGGAGGGGGAGGGGGTAGTGAGGGTGGGACTTGGGAAAGGGGTGAGTAAGGAGGGCTGTGTGTGAGAAGCCTGGTGCCCTCCCCAGGTCAGCAGCATCTGGAGCTGTTTCTCTAGCAGACAGTAAAGAACTCGATTACATCCAGTTAACTGTGCTCTAAACTGATTATGCATGTGCTGGGCTAATGGATTACATTAGCAAGAGGAAAAATAACATGCAATCAATCTCCATTTACTACAGGCCACACCAGGGCCTAGAGAAAAACTGACTCTCAACCACCTCCAGTCCCCACCCCAAATCTACAGACTCGTGACACCCTAGGACAGAGAGCCCCCTCGGTGGCAGAAGAAGTCTGTCTTAGTCACACTGCAGGACAGAAAGGCTTGGTGCATGCACTGGAATAAGCCCATTGCTGTGTCATTCAGGAGTGGTTGAGAGCTCCCCGCCCCCACAGCAGAGCCACCGCGAGCCAAGGGACATTCATTACCCAAGGACTAATGAGACCAGACTAATGACCCACGGCTCCTGACACAGGGAATTCTGCTCCGAATGTGGGGGGGGGGGCGGTTCACCCCCGGGGTTGCGCCAGCCAAGTGCACCATTCAGGGATTTCTCCTTCGGGTGCTGGTTCCCAAGTTCTATCCTACACCCCAATACCTATGGCCCTTCCACCGGCACTGCCTTTTTTTAAGTAGGAGTTTTCTCCATCTTTTTAAAAAGAGAGAGAGAGAAATAAGGCCAGAGAGGAGGACGGTCCACAGTTCAGCAAAACACAGATGGAAACACACAAAATGCCTCCCTGACACCCACCCAGGAAACCGCCTCAACTTGACTTGCTAGGTGTGACCCATGAAGGTGGTTTGGGGACCAAAAAGGGATCATCTAGGTGAATCCTCCAGGTTCCAGGCCCTTCAGAAGCAAAGCCAAGAGCGTGGTATACTCTTATGGGAGGATGTAGCGTGGAGAGGTAATCACCACCACGCACGTTTTATCATCTAAAGGGCATTTTTTTCCCCTCAGATGGAAGAGGCTGGCTTCTTGCCACTTCTAAACAACCCTCATCAAAGTTGCATACAGTCTTCCATGGCCACACACAGTACTTTGAACTAATTTCGCTCAGTCAGGTCCTTTGGAAACAGGTTTTTTCTATGGGTTTTCCATCAGGTTTTCTGGACATCAGCACCACCATACGGCCGCCTGAGACCTCTAACTTAAACTGACCAGTAGGAGCCTTTTCTTTCAAGGGTGGCCCCAAACTAAGCCATCCAGTGAGATTCTTGCTCACTTAGAGCAAGGGGCTTGGCTGCTTGGTGTTCAGACCTTCCCCACTGCACCATGCCAGCCCATCCATGCTGGGGTTGGCAGTCAATTCCAGAACCTTCTAGTCCCACCACCTCATTTCTGCTTTCTCCTCCTTTCCATAAAATAGTTTCTTATCCATGCTACACAGGCCTCCCACCAAGCTGAAGACGACCAGTTGTAAAATGAATCATGGTTATCAATCTCACCAGACGGATATGGGGAAAGGACCTGAGATCCTCCTTATTTGGAGTCTCCCTTTAAAATCACCATGAGTAGAAAGGGGATTAAACTAGCTCAGGGTCAACAGAAAGGCTCCCTCGCCCAAAAGTGTGGGAACTGGTGTGAAAGGGAAGGGGGGGCGGGCGGGGGGGGGGGGGGGGGAGGGGGAGGCTGATGATAAAAGGGAGAAAATGCAAAGGGAAGAGTGAGGGTGTGGACGGCATGTGGGAGGAGGCTGGGCAGATTTATGGCGATTTGTACCTGATTGTTCATACTAAAGCCATTATGGGATGATTAGAGAAAAAGGTGAGGCTTTAAGTCCAGTGAAAATCAATAGGAACGTCTGGAGCAATTCTGCCTCGCAAGTGAAAGGACTATTTACAGTATGTGAGCACCTCCTCCTCACCGTTACCAGCTATGGACTGAGAGACTGGGGGGGCGGGGAGGGGCGGGGGGTAAGGAAGGAAGGGACGGCAGAGGGAGAGGAGGAAGATGGGAGAAGCCCAGGGGGAGGCAGGGGAAATGTGAATATAAGGAACAGAAAGGAGGCACAGAACACGGAAGTAAGGGAGAAAGAACAAAGGAGCCCCCTTAACGGACCCTAAATTTTTCCCCACAGCATGTGCCGCCCTGTAGTCATTGTGTCTATCACCCATCTCTCTGCAAGAGAACAGAAGCACTATGAGGGCAGGGATTTTTTTTTGGGGGGGGGGTCTATTTTGTGCATGGAGGTAGCCATGTGTCCAGAACAGGACCTGGCATATAGTAGGTGCTCAATATATATCTGCTGAATGAATGAATGAATGAATGAATGAATGAATCCACAAACAAATGAACTACGGACTCCAGGGGCATCCAGGAGGGAGGAGATTAAAGAGGAGGGGGGACGAGACGGAAAAGGGGAGAGCGAAGCACGCAGGGGAAAGGGGCAACGCAGCAACACAAAGGTACACAAAAGCCACACGACTGTAAGGGAGAAAAGCCAGGTGACGAGAGTCTAGGGGTAAGTATCGGGCTGCTGTCTCTGTCCATAAAACCCGCGCTCCAAAACGGCGCAGCTCTCAAAGAGAACCTTCGGTTACCAGAAGCCGCCAGCACGTCGCAGCTTCACGAGGAAGCGGGCGCCAACGCCCCTTCCAACACCAACCGGCCGCCGACCCCGCCGTGACAAAGACTGTCACCCGTCCCCAGCCATCCCCAGCCCCCAGCGATCCCACGCATGCCTTCCAGAGGCAGCCCGGGTCCTACCTTGTACAGCTTCAGGCTGGCCTCGTGCCTGGAGTTGACCGTGTGCAGCCGCAGCTTCTCCAAGCTGTTGGTGTAGTAGTCGCACGCGTTGCACTTGAGGTGGACGGGGTTGCCGATGGCCACGCACTTGAGCCGCCACTCGTTGGCTTTGCCACCCTCCTTGATGTGGGCCACCAGCTGGTACTTCTGCACATGCTTGTCTGTCTTGCAGTGCAGCTGAAAGTTGGCCTTGAGCTGGGTGTTGTAGCGGCAGAGCTTGCACTGGTACGAGTCCCCCATCACGGCCTTCCACTCGTCCTCTGGGAGGCTGCGCTCCATGTTCATGTGCAGCCCCAGCATGTCCAGGTTATCCGTGGTGAACTTGTTGCAGACGGCGCACTGGAAGAGCTTCAGCGACGGATCGTTGGTCTGGATGAAGCTCTCGCCCAGGTTCATCAGCTCCTCCGACACCAGCTGCCCGCCCCCGAGGCGCATGTCTAGGGGGATCTCACCGCCCACTGTGGGGGGGGGGGGGAAGGAGAGGGGAAGAGCATCAGAGGCCAGGCTCACAGCACCAGCCAGCCTCCCCCACCCTCAACCAGGTGCGAGGAGAAAAAAGAGCACATTTAAAGTGTTGCAAGGTGCTACTAACTGGGACCACCAACCCCTACCCTCCCCCCGCCAAAAATCAACTTTATGTGTTCAGATCTTTCCCACAAACACTCTGAAATTTGCAGAAGGCTTTATGGTTTGTTGTTTTTTGTTTTTTTTTTCTTTTGGGAAAGAACACCCAGAACCATAATCTCTTGAATATTTCGATTCAGTCCCTCACTCAGATCCAAGAAAAGATAGGAATAAACATCATTTACTGGACATAACAGAATCTGAAACTCCAGACCCCTAAAAGCTGGACGTTAGTTACAACTGCATTCTAAGATATGAAGCCTTCGTGGTAAATCAGAACCGGGCCCAGAATTTATCTACAGCAGTACAGCCCCAACAGAACTTCCTGCACTGTCCAATGATGGGTTAGTCGCCAGCCACAGCTAAGTTGCAACCAAGAAACTGGATTTTCAGTTTTATTTATTTCTAATCCATTTGCATTTAGATTGCCACATGTGGCTAGGCGCTACAGCAGTGGAGAGTGGACGGTCTCCCTAATTCCTCAGCACACCCCATGGGTCAATACTCTACCTGCCTGTCAACGGGGCCAGCTCCTCCTACGTGTCCCCAAGAATACGGTCACTCCCTTTTTCTGAGCCCCCACTGTGAATGAAATGTAGGTCTGCTATGGGACACGTCACATTCTCCGTTGTTGTCAGCCACGTGCAGAGCCCCGTGTCCCCATCCCTCTTTAGGGCAGGTGTCCAGACTTCACATCACTGAACCTCTAGAGAGTGCCCGGCCCCCCTGCACAGATGTTGTGCAGAACCTGTACCTAAAATGGTACAGGTTCAGGAAGTGGGTCAAGCTGGGTGATGACATGCAAAGGTCAGCTCATGCAGTTCCCAAAAAGAGTCTGAGGAAGCCCTGCTCCTCCCTCTCCACCCCGTTACTTCTCAGCTCACCACTGCCCTGCATAAACCAGGGATAGGCTCTCATTCACCGGTGGGAAATTACTGCTGCAAACTCTTATTTCTATCGTGAAAAGGGCTTGGAAAGAGCGGTCTTCCCTCCATTCCCGAGCAGAACGCTGAACACTGGCTTCCGTTTTCCACCTCGCCCCCAAACACATGGGCACGTGAGCTACTATGTCCTCCCCTGACCCTCCCCAACTGATACTCAGATTTGACCTTTTACATATGGTTGGGCTGAGGTTATTTTTTTTTTTTTTTAATGAATGATTACAATCCAAGTTAGTGGCTAATTAAGTAAAAGATTTTTTTTAATGATTTTCTTATTTATGCTACGTGAGGCACCTCTAAGAGACGATCTGTTACAGGTTCTACTGAGCCGTCTGGCTGTGTTCGAAGCCTGTGGACAATCTAGCAAGCCACAGAAATCTTTTGCACATGCATTCCAGAAGGCTCAGGAAGCTTTCTGCTTGTCTTCTCCTTTGCCATCTCCCCTGATGAGAGGAGCCATAACTAAGACATTCTTTTTAGGACAACGGGGGGAAAAAAAAAGAGGAGAAAAAAAAAAAGCCTAAAAGCTCCATCCCTTAATGGGGACGAAGGCCAGGTAGCATCCATGAAACACACACGGCGTTCAGTCAAAGCGGAGACTGCCCAGAGGGTGAGACAAGGAGCAAACATATATTTGTTTCTGATGCCAACCACCTGAAGCATCAAATCCTCCCCACTTTTTAAATTTAACCTCAGCACATCAATATTGCTCTAAAGAGAAATTCAGCTGTCACTTGCTGGATGCCTGAGTAAAAATGAGAAATCCTCTGGACGCATAGAGGAAGTTAAGTCCCTATTCCCATTCCAAGCTCTTGAAATGCAAATCAAAGACAGACACAGAGAAGCAGTGAAATGAAGGTGACAGGCAAGCCAAAACTCCCTCTGAGAATGGTACCTTGGAGGAACAAACCCAAGGCTTAGAATCCTACAAATCTGTAGAGCCAGAAGGAACTAATTCAGCCCCCCAAGAAGTGAAGGAACCTCACCCCATGCAGAGCAAGTTAGGAAGAGAGCCCCCTGTGAGAACTCAGCACGGGTTTACTCTTGAGCTACACTGGAGAGATCATCTCGTCGGCGAGGGGGCCCCCCCACGTCTAACACTAGAATTCACACCCTGGCACAAAAGTCTGCGTATCAGCACATCGTCAGAGAGGCACGTGGATTAAAAGACACCTTCTAGACTCCAAGGCAGAAGCAGAGGACCGTCCCCCAAATCTATGGCCAGTCGGCTCCCTGGGAAACACGCAGGTGCCTCACAAGCGACCTGACTGGCGATGCTGTGCTCAACTTTATCGTTTAAAGGGATGTCTGGAAGGATATTTTCGAAGGCCTCCAGCCTAGTATCTTACCTACAAATGGCAGCACATCCAACCAGACCAGACCCAAGGGTGCTGACCCTCTCCTTAGAGCCCGCCAGAAAGAAAGCATCCCCAGAATCCGCATCTGCTTGGTATCACAAAAGAGAACGTTCTGCCAAAGGAAGTATGACAACAGTAACTCTGGAGGCAGGAGTGTATTTCACAAAAATGTTTCTCCCCCTGCAGAGCCCAGTAATACCTAATCAACACCTAGAGCCTTTTCACAAATGGCCTCATGAAAGATCGGTAGGGTTGCAGACCGAACTGAATGTTATCGCCCTTTCACATTTTGCATACGTTGGCTTCTACCAAGGTCACACGACCTACACTCTAAGCCCTTTGGGCATGCGCTCCCGTACCCACACCCACTCAGACTTCCAGGATAAAGTACTTGTGACTCTCCATCTCAGCAGCTCTGTGGCCTACAGTGGGCACTGGAGGTTTCCAGAGACTCAACCTGGCTGATAAGCAGTAACCCTGAAAATTCAAGGGCCTTTGCTTGGCTGACCTGTAGAAGGTCCTTGGAAGGAAAAGCTCTGTTCTCTTTAAAAAATAAAGTATGGATCTGCTATGTACGTCCAGAACACGGGGATCCATTCTTCTATCTCTTTTGCACCTGCCATACGCCCGTAATGCATGATGCCCCACAGACTCACAGACACTTGTATAAAAAGCACGATATTTTTCTACCACTTAATTCAAGCCTTAGTCAGAATTACTGGTTTTCAAGGTAATTAAAAAGATCTCACTCTGACCCAGTATGAACCCATCCGTTTTCTGTGTCTTCATTCCATTTACATTATATTTGATTTACTCCAAGATCTGCCTCACCAAGATTTTAAATCTCCAGATGAGAAAAACCCCAATTCCCATAGGCTTAACAAAAAAAAAAAAAAAAAAGGTCTTACAGTATGATGCCATCCCTTGGTGTGTATTCCCTATGGTTCACTCTGGGGACAAATAAGATGATTGATCCCTGTACATCCATTATTAACCAGCTGGTAAAACATCTTCAAATCATTTGGTAATAAAGGATCCACAGGTCAATATTCCAAAATAGAAAACAAGATTAAAGTAGCAAGGATTCAAATTTAAATGCATAGCAGGAAAAACAAATTAAATGCTATGAAATATAACTCATCAGCAGCAATTAGCACTAAAACACCACACGAAGACATGCCAACTGGTGAGGCTTGGCCCCTGGCATTAACCTAAACCATGCCAGAATAAAGGTACTTGCTCACGCTTTATTGCCAAGAACAACTTATTCTCATGTCAGGAAGGGACTACTGTTTAATTCAGGCCACTGCCACTGGTCCCACGAGACTGGCAGGGTCGGGGGGGACGGAGACCAGGCAGTGCCTGTCGGAGGCACAGGTGGGTGGGGGCAGGAATGACCCAAACATCACAATGGTCCTCGTGAAACTGATTCGTACCTTTTCTTGCCATAGAGGCTCTCCCCCAAAAGTGATCATGATTCTTTTCATGCAAAGACTCATGGTTTTTGGCATCCAAATCCTAACCTCTTGATCCCATTCTAGGTCTATGAAGCCAGTCGGTTAGACCTGCTGCCCGGACACAGCCAACTCACCTTCTCTAACATGGGTGGTTTTTCTCATGGTAACAAAGGCTCTGTTAACCAGCATCTAACAGATATTAAAACTTTGCTTTTTCTGATGTACAATTTTAGAATTTTTTCGTTCTTCATCTAGCACACCACTCCTTACGGTGCCCCAGGGCAATTTAATTCCCAACTATACTTATCACTGACAATTCACGCCAAACAGAAAAGAAAAGCAACGGGTCTCTTTCATCAGGATCCTCACGAATACACTGGAGAAAGAACTCTGAGAAACCTATCTGGATGGCTCCCCGCTCGGCGCAGAACCAGCCTTTGGTTATTTGAATAAGGTACGCTACGGTTTCCAGTTGCTCTTATGGAGACGACTGTCCCTATTTAAAACGTGAGCTGCAAGTTTCCTGTAAGTTACAGCAAATATTTAGCGGAACCCAAAAGTTTCAGATAGTGGTGGCGATTTTTCAAACTGAGAAAGGCACAAGGGAAGAGAGGATGGGAAGAGAGAGGAAAGCGGACCAGATGCCAAACACCGGAGGCAACACTGAAAATTTTCATCCCGGCCTGTGGAGCCGGAATATAATCGTGGGTCTGCTGAATGCATACGATCCTCCATATGCACACAAGAAAGGGTGCTTGAGAAAAATATCTGATCGTCACTCAAGTTCACACAAGACCAGCCTTGAGAAAATAACAGTCAGAGCCGAATCCACAGGACTTGACAGAATCAACTGCATCAACAGGACCTCGGTCTACTCTCACTGCCCCCGTTAAACTCAAGCCATCAGAACAAACAAACACGCAGTCAGCCTCACCTAGAGCAGGTGTCATGGCGGCCATGGGCCCGGTGGGATCCAGCTGGAATCCACTCATCATGAACTGGGCATCCGAGGCGGTGCTGTCCATCTTCAGGTTGGGCAGGTTCATGTTCTGGGCCAGGTAGTACTGGTAAAGCTCGGCCTCGGCGGGTGAGGGCAGGCTGCCGAGGCCCAGGTGTCGGTTGTGCTGGATCTGGGTCATGTTTTGCTGCAGGAGCATCATGTTGTGCATGTGCTTCTCGCTGGTCATGTGGATGCGCAGGTTCCTGGCCACGTTGGTCTCGTAATCGCACACCTCGCACCGCCAGGTGGGTTTGGTTTTTGGTTTGGTGGGCGAGGGGGCCCCGCAGGAGCTGCCGATATTGGCCGCCGCGGCCGCCGCGGCCGCCGCCGCCGCGGCCGCCGCCCCGGCCGAGTGGCTGAACACCTGCTCCCCCCCTCCGTTCTGCAGGTTCTGCATGTTGTTGAGATGCTTGTCGGACTGCATATGGATACTGAGGTTGCCTTTGGTAGTTGTGGAGTAGTTACACACCTCACAGCGGAAAGGCTTGTAACCACACGTGTAGCTCTCACCTCGCGCCAACCGAGGGTGGGGCTGCCCGCTTTTGCAGTAGACACAGGAGCCCCCCGGCTCCGGGTGCTTCTCCTTCATGTGCGCCTCCAGGGTCTGCTGGTACTTATAGTGCCAGTTGCACTTGGGGCACTTAAGTGTCTTACATGAGTTACGAGAATGCATCATGGTCATGTGGCCGCCCAGCGAGCGGGAGGAGCCCAGGACCGTGTCGCATTTGGGGCACTCCACGCCACTCCCCGAGGGGCATTCCCCAACCCCCAGCTCGCAGAGGGAGCCAGCGTGCTGGTGATGGGGGACAAAGCCCCCGTCGTCGCCCTCTGTGCTTTCATTTGGTTCCGGTGCTGTGGCATTGTCTTTATTGGCACTTTCGTCTGCAAAGTCCAGCCTCCTGCCGCCCTCTGCCACACTGGCCCTGACGCCCTCACTGTTAAAGCTTAAACGATTTCTCCTGTCCGCACCATCAAAGACAACAAAGGAAGAAGCAGAATTAGAACTAGTAGGAGCTGCGCCCCTCGACAGGGTCTGGAGCACATTAGGCATTAAGGGGGAGTTAGAAATGCTTTGGTTTGAGAGCGCGAGGTCCTTTTTGCTGCTGCCTGCCGCGGCCCCAGACTCCTCGCGGGGCCTGTCCTCCAGGTCGTCGTCCAACTCGCTTGGAAAGAGTCCTTTGCAACCCTCGTCTTCCTCCTCCTCCTCTTCCTCGTCTTCCTCCTCCTCCTCCTCCTCTGCC